ATCTTTTTTATTATTATCAGAACTCTAGCTGCAGCATTTTGGATCAGCTGAAGGCTTTTAACTATGGACTAGTTTCTCAGAACCTGGACAGGAGATTTCTCATTTTGTAATATTGCGCATATGAAAGAAGGACATTACTTTATTATCTGAGATAAATTTAATCCCATTCAGATGAAGTGACTGTCTCTTCCACGGTTCTGAGGAGGGATCGACGGGTTAGGGACCAGACCTGTTTACAGTGCTGGATGTGCTGATCTACAGAGGGAGCCGTTATTCTTCTCACATTTGACAGGAACAGTGGGGGCTGGTAACCCAGGGAAACCTCAAAGGAGGTGTGGGAATTGTGGCCATATTCCACCCAGGAGAGGAACTTGTTCCAGTCTGCAGAACGCGTAGATGTGAGCCAGCGGAGAAAGGACTCCAACTCCTGGTTCATATGTTCGGTCTTTCCGTGGGTCTGGGGATGATAACCTGACGACAGGGTGTAGGTGGCCCCCAGGGAGGTGACAAACTCCCTCCAGACACGGGAAGTGAACTGAGGTCCTCGGTCTGAGAAGATGTCCCGAGGTATCCCGTGTAATCTAAATACATGCTTAACCAGCAGCTGGGCTGTCTGGAAAGCGGATGGGAGCTTGCAGAGGGGTACCAGATGGCAGGCTTTGGAAAAGTGGTCCATAACGGTTAAGACGACAGTCATGATGGCAGCCCAGTGAAGAAGTCCAAGGCGATATGAGACCAAGGACGTTCAGGGTCGGGGAGAGGCTCGAGCATTAATCGGTTAGAAGTCTTGTTCTTAGCACAGGTTGGACAGGCTAGGACATACTGCTGTGCAAGCTGATTGATGGTTTCGATGGACTCCGGGGTGAGCGAAGATCTTAGCGGAGCGGGCGGACAGAGCTCTGGACATATTTTCTGTCCTCCTGGGTCGGGTTCAGTCCGCAGGGCCTCCGGTGGGAGAGGGCATCAGGCTTATTGTTCCTCGAGCCGGGTTGGAAGGAGATCGAGAGGTTACATTGGGAAATGAACAAGGACCAGCTGGCTTGCCTGGGATTTAAACGTTTAGCGGACTGGAGTTAGGCCAAGTTCTTATGATCCGTCCAAACTAGGAGGGGTTGCTCGGTGGCCTCCAGCCAGTGACGCCACTCCTTTAAGGCCATCTTAATTGCAAGGAGGTCACGATCGCCCACATCGTAGTTGCGCTCTGCTGGGGAAAGGCGTCGGGAGAAGAAAGCGCAGGGGTGCAACTTATGATCGTTCTCTGAGTGTTGGGAGAGGACTGCTCCGATGCCGGAGTCAGAGTCAATCTCTTAAATAAACTGTCGGTGGGGGTCAGGATGGATGAGCACTGGAGCCTGAGAGAACCTCCTCATTAGCTCATGGAAGGCCGAGTCAGCCGCCTCATTCCAGGTAAACGTGGACTTAACAGACGTGAGGGCGTGAAGTGGGGCAGCAACTAGACTATAATTGCAGATAAATCTGCGGTAGAAGTTTGCAAATCCTAGGAACCGTTGGAGCTGACGACGGGACTCGTTGGGTACCGGCCATTCCTGCACGGCGCTCATTTTCTCCGTATCCGACCGGACCTGCCCCCCCTCAAGGATTAGGCCCAAGAAAGAGATGGACGGCTTCTCGAACTCACATTTCTCTGCCATAACAAAGAGCCTGTTCTCAAGTAGGCGCTAGAGTACCAGTATCACGTTTAGGTTGGTGTTCAATGAGACTTCTGGAGTAAATGAGAATATCGTCTATGTTATAAGCTGGTGTTGAGGTGCTGACAGCCGCTCCCTTTTAAGCCGTCCCACAACCATGAAACGCAGCACACCTGTGTTCAGCACCACCCCGCTCTTCAGCAGCCACCTGCGGGGAAAAAAAGGGGGCGAGATTGCTGAACCGGCAGGTAGTTACCGCAGCGCCCTGACAAAAGCCCATAGAGCAAAACACTGTATTGGTGCGCGTGTCATTTCAAGAAATTCATGTTACCAATACAGGAGTAGTTTCTAACTGATTGAGACACTGTTAAAAAAAATTTCTCTTTTTTTACGGTTTATCATTAAAATTATCAAGAATTTTCGAGCAACTTAAAAGGAAAAGGAATGTTTCAGCCATTGCGTTTGTATTTTACTTTTCTCGTCCTGTCATCCTTTTCCTCTCAGTTATCAATCAGCTTAAATTAAAGGTAATTTCAAATTGACTCCAAGTGTATTCACTGTTTTTTTCTGTACTTATTGTTTTAAAATTATGATTCAAAATCCTAGTCCAAAAGCATCTTCATTACATAAAGCTGCTTTTTGTGTCTCTGCTTCTGTCTCCTTGAACACCAGTCGGCCTCAGCAGATGACCGCTCACACTGAGTCTGGTTCTGCTGGAGGTTTCTTCCTGTTCAAAGGGAGTTTTTCCTCCCCACTGCTGCTACAAGCATGCTTAGTGTGAGGGATTGCTGAAGAGTCAATGAGTTACTGCAATCAACCGTTTTTCCTTAGATAGAAAACTTTTAATCAATCTGACTGGATGATCTGGTTTAATTGGCGCTATATAAATAAATTGAATTGAATTCACATTTTTCCTTAAATTTTCACGTTCTGATATATGTTTACATTATTTACTGGCTGCACCTAAAAATATCAAATATATATTCAATTTAAAGATAGATATCAATACACTTTAACCTACAATAACTTAAGTTACATCAGTGTATTAGGTCATCAGATCAAACAGTTTAGTCTGTCCAATGAGCTGCCTGTAGTGTCACTAGATGTCCAGCAGGTGTCAGTATTCTGTGAGAAAGTATCAACAGAGCATCAATATAGTTTGGCTTCAAGGTGCCTCATCAACCTATCGCTGGGATTGACCCATATAACCGTTTCCTGGGCGGTAGACATGATAAAATCACCACTGCGCACATTTACCGCTGTTACCATTTACCCCAACAGCCGTTCTGCTTTGCCAGGCTGTGGAATTCTTCCCTTCCCAATATGGCGGCCACGTTGTTGCGTCGCTGCGTATCTTAGGTCACGTGTTTCCGTCTGGCTTTTGGCGACTAGATATTGCATCATTAGGCCGCTACATGTGAGACTGGCAAATCCTCGTTGCTGGAAATTAAAGCAACGTGATTTTCTGAAGAGGTCGCAGATAAACTAAGAAAATGCCTAAAAAAGCGAAGGAGGAAACGGAGTGGGTGGACACTGATGTGGCTCCAGGGGCAGGTGAGCAAACTGACAGCGCGAGGAGCCGCTCAAAGCTACATAGCATTCTAGCTAGCAGATGGGAAAACTAAGTTGATTCATTTATAGCAGCAGCAGCTTCTATATACATATTATTATTATCCTGATCTTTTAAAGTCTATCTGACTCTTAAACACCGGAACTCCGTTTAACTAAACTCCATATGTTTTCTCTTGTTAAGCTTAGTTTAGTTTAATTTATCAAACTTAAAAAATAGTTTTTCTGAAATAAGACATCACCTATGTACGGAAGAGGATTAGGGCCATAAAAAATAAAAGAAAATTAACTGATTTTCAAATTTTATTTCAGTATAATATGGGAAAAGAGAATTCTGACTTTAATCCCATATTATACTGAAATAAAATGTGAAAATCAGTGAACTTTTTTAGTTTTTCAGTGGCCATACCTGTTAGGACACAACAGACTCAATAAAAACTAACCTTTTGTCCAACGCAAAAACTATGGGAAAGTACACATAGATAATCATTGCATAGATCTGTACATTATTCCACACAGATTCATTTTATTCTTCTTGTATGACTATGAATCAAAGGTCAAATGGGTATACAGTAAATATCATGACTGGAGGTACTTTATCTGCTCTAAAATAAGCAGTAAGCAGGTTTATGTTGGACTAATAATCAGACAAATTACTTTATACACATATATAACGTAGTATTGGTAAAGTTTAGTTATTTAGTTTCTTCTGCATAATTATACAGGTACACCTATAGAGTTAAAGTATTATAAATATGTCTCCCTTTTAAAAGGTATGGAGATTTTTTTCTAGAGACATAGAAGATTAAACTATTGTTTCTACAAAGTTGTTCTACAACACGTTATAAATATATTTGATGTTTTCCAGTAGATTATTACCCTTTAAAAGCATTTTTTATGTTTATCTTCAGCTGTTTATTAAAGGTGTGCCTCTGTAAGGACAGCTTTTCATCCACATGTTCTTTTTTTTTTTTACTTTCTGAAAACCAAAACAGATTCTTTGCACCAGATAAACAAGATTTATGAATGTTCATCTTTCTAGGTATTATTCTTGGTGCACATATTCCTGCCCTAATCGTTAGTCATGTCAGAAAGTGATGCTCATACTGCATAGATTCATCACAAGAAGACTAAAAAGTCTTAAACCTCTATGTTGTTCAATTATAAAAAAAAAAAAATAAAATGGGGAGTGGTGGCCTAGTGGTTAGGGTGTAGAGCTTGGAATCCTGAGGTTCTGAGATTGAGCCCCACTCCCACAGACTGCCACTCTGGCTCTCTGAGCAAAGACCCTTAACCCCACACTGCTCACCAGGTGCCACACAATGGCAGCCCACTGCTCCCTGAGGGGATGGGTGAAATGCAGAGGTAAAAATCTCCAATGTGAGATCAGTAAAGTTTAAATATTATTATAGATAATTGTGACTTACAGGTGATAAAACCCCTAAAGCTCAGCACCTCAGACAGAATATTTCAGGACGTTATAAACAGAAAGGTCCAGGTTCTTTAACCATAGGTTCCTTGCTGGGCTCTTCTTGCATGAATAACTGCATCAATGCAGCGTGACACCAATACGACCCACCTCTGGTTCTGCTGAGGTTACCTAGGTAACGACCTAAGGCCGGTTCACCTGTGTTGTTGGGTCCAGTTTCACACTTGCTCCAGAAACTTCCCACCGGACTTTAAGCCACTTGACTTTTATTCCTCTTATTTCGTCCTCCTGGTCTTTAGACGTCGATTTCCACGTTAAGTCAAACGTCATTCCCAAATTTTCGGACCGTGTGAAAGTGGTACTAGAGGGCGCTGGTTTGTGTTTTTCATTTGAAGAAGCTTCCCAGTTTTCACATCACCACCAGCACCATATTTATTTGATCTTTAAAGGCGATAGCTACATGATTAACTCCTCCCAGCCAGTAGGTGGCGCACTCTCTGTCCACACTGTTTGCCAGCTGATTGCAGAGTCCTCTAATACGGAGGTCTTTAACAGGGGGTCCGCGACCCCTAGGGGATCCACAGAGGTACTGCATGGGGGTCACGAAAGTTTTGGTTGATAAGATTTTTTTTTTTTATATTCCTCCCTGCAATTATTTCCACTAATGTCTTTAAATCCACATTAAAAAGACCTAAGTTAGGTTTTTCCCTCTCCAAAATAGTAAACTTACTAAATTATAATGTGTTAAAGGTTATTTATTTTTCCTGAGAAAATAAATGCATTAAAATCCTTTTCTTTTTTATCACTCTGTGCCTGATCTGCACCAGAAATAGGATCCTATGCTACTTATGGGAGCTAACTTTTTCAGCTTTGGGTTTATATTTTTCCCTTTTGTGATAACATTATGGTATATAGTGCATAATCTGAAGATAGAAAAAACTAAAATGCAGCTAAACATGGTTTAATCATATTTTCCCAGATTGCTCTAAGCATGTCCCATGATGACGTCAGAGAAGCTGTTTAACGGAGAAAATGGAAAAAGCTTTAAAATTGTCCCAGAAAAGTCATTAAAGATGCGTGTTAGTATTCTTTAGTGAGTTAAGGATATAAATAAGTAATTTTATCACTAAAATTACATTATTTATGGACACCCGGATGCATATCTGTTTGCGCATGATCAGGACGGATCGGTTCGAGACACGTTAGCATGTTTGCTAACCCAGCTAATTCTGATCTTGGTTTTTGAACAGTTTCTTTAGCCATTTATTATTTCTGCATTAAAGCTCATTCTTAGGTCATAAGTTCCTCAATGTTATTTTAAAAATGTAACCTAATACTGATGATATTGATGGTCAGTGTGCGTTATCTGGCCTTTTAGCGTTTAAAAAGTAATTTTATGCCAAATCTTCCCACAGAAAAAACAGTGAAAAAGGGGAAAAAAGACAAAAAGGGGAAAAAGAGTGTGAGTAAAACTTTTATTTATTCTTCAAACATCTCCTAGCTGATCTATATCTTTAAAAGCTTCACAGATTTCATTGATGATGTTTTGTTTTTATTCCAGTTTTTTGAGGAACTTTCAACGGATAGCAAAACGGAGAAGGTTGATGAGCCAGCTGGGAAAGACAACCAAACAAAACAGGTAAACATCTACCTGCATTAACGCTGGACAAGGATCATGTTTTTAATATCAAATTCCAAATCGCAGCGTTTTGGTCGCCTTACATTCAGCAAGTTGCATAGTTTCTCTCAGCAGCCCTCTAGGTGGCAGTAAAGTGCTGAAAGCAGGTTAACCATCACAGAAGGGAGGAGAGAGATGTTGCTAGGAGGCACATCTATGCATGTGAGCTAGAAGCATCTTTCAGGCTCAGACAATAGACTCTGGAGCAGAGAGCATTCAGGACCATAAAAACAAAGACAGCAAACCTTTTCTGGGGTTTCCGCAGGGTTCTGTGTTTTTAACTCCTACGACTGTGCTTTAAAAATTCAATTCAGTTTATTTCTATAGCTTTAATTCACATCATGTCATCTCAGGTCACTTCCCAGTT